ATACATAAAATAAATGAATAAATAATACTTACTGTCGTTCAAGTTCAGCCTGCTAAAGTTGTGTTTTTTGATTTGCGAGTGAACGGATTTCGCCAAATTATGAAGCCAATTGTCCCTATCAGGTAACTTCAGTGGGTTGGGATTATAAAAATTTGGCTTATAGTGGCCAGCTGGTACGAAATGAGCATATTCATCCGTTTCACAATTCCGCTTTAAGAAAGCGTTGATGTCAGCAGATCTCAGCCTCACTCTGTGAATAAACCTCCTCCTTATTAACTCTGCCCACGCCGCCTGATCAGAAAACGGAGGCTCTGGACCATCTTCATCTCGACTATCCTTCTGGTCGCACCTCTCATTGTTAGCAAAAGTGAGGACAAATACTACTCTCTTCCAAAAGGTAGGACCAAACGCTTGATGTAGCCTGCGCAGAGCCAATGTATCATCATAAGCCAGCCTGTGGTTGGTCATCTTCATACAGTACAAAACTAAACTGACTTCCTGACATTGAGCCTTCATGTCTTGAATGTAGAGCTGCTCGTTAACATGGATATCTTGTAGACCAGGCGAGTCGATGATCCTCACCTTGACATCTGGTAGCAGCTCCGGGTGGACGTAAGAGTGGGTTGATCTTGTACACATGTCAGTCTCTGCTCCTTCTTGAGCAATATCTTCCCCTAATTCAATCAAACTGTTGATCAGGGTTGACTTTCCCTGGCCTGTTTTGCCCACCATTAGGAGGTGAATGTCCGAACGGGTTCCTTCGCTAGCTAGAACCTGTTTTAATGTTGACATGGCACCTTTATCTAAATTAAAATTAAATTATGTGAATCATTTTACTAAACCACACCCACAGTATATAAAATGACCACACCCACTAGATTAGTCTAATTCACATGTACATTACGTAACAATGCATTTACATATTGTACATGTACATGTATTTCCATTGCTCACTTTTATCTGATAATTTTGATAAATCGGTGGATCTTTCAATGAAGAAACCAGATGATTCAAGATCTACAATTATAAACATATTGTTACTATTTTTAGAAACAGCAGCTTACTTTCATCATCCTGATCTTTCAGTAAAGGTTCAGCCATCATGCAGCACAGGGGAAGGGCTTGATCTGAAGGTACAAGATAGAGAGAATAACCTGCCTCTGTCTTTAAACTGCAGCAGCTCAAGGCTTAGCTTTCAGCAGTTAATGTCAGTTTTCAGCAGTTTCACTGCAGTTGAGGTAATTCCCCGGCCCGCGCCCCTCTCATAGAAACCACACCTTCACATTTCATGAGCCACACCCTCGAGAACAATGATTTATATTTATTATTATTATTTTATTATTAAAAATGATAAAACAGTAAGTGATGTATGCCCAGTATTAGTGTCCTCCTATCATGTGACTTTCATGTGATGGCAGCAACTGTCACACGAGTACTAATCCTATCAGAGACCCAACTCGAGTTGGGGAGGTAGAGTTTAGGATCCGAGAGACGATAAAGACCTCTCTTGTAAATGTAATAATAAAACAAGGCGACCATTTTATGAAGGACATACATGAATTGGAGCCCTCCTGACCACACCCAGTGATTATTCCAACGATTATTTAACGACCATATTTGGTATGCTATCGTAACGAGGAGATAGGCTACACCAGTGCAGAGTGACCACGAGAATTTCTTAAGGAGGATAGTAATGAGTCCACTGGTGAATGTAAAAGTGTTGAAGAATATTAAGAACGTTAGAATGAATGATAGTACGAGAAAGAAGTCTTGTAAGGCGTATACTACTGATAGAATGACTGGAGAGAAAGAGGAGAGTAGTAGGGATAGAGAATTAAGACAGAGATCCATTCCTAACAGAAGTAATTGTATAACAAAGAGGCAACAATATTTGGGATTAGAATACGCCATTTTAAAGCCACGCCTATTCTAATTGGAACACACCCATAAACAAGTCACGTGATCTAAAAACAAAATGGCGATGCTTTCTTTGCTGCTAAGGAGGTCTTCTTTGCTAGCTAGACCGTCTTCTTTAGCTGGTATGTACTCTACAATACTAAATAAAATTTGTATTGCTATTGTAGGAAGACATGCTGTTTCTCAAGCGAGATTAGCCAGCTCACAAGCACCAGAAAAGATCAGAGTTTATGTAAATGATATTCCAGTTTATTGTGAACCTGAAACCACTGTACTGCAGGTGAGAGAAGCAGAGCTGGAGAATAGGGGAAAGGAGCACAATAGCTAGCTGCAATTAATTATTTAATAATAATTATTATTTTGTTGCATGTACATGTACATACATGTATACATGTACTTTAATAGTATTATTATAGTATTTTAATATTTCTAGGCGTGTGCGTTGGCAGGTGTTGAGATCCCAAGGTTCTGCTATCACGACAGGTTATCAGTGGCTGGTAATTGTCGGATGTGTCTCGTTGAAGTTGAGAAATCAGCAAAGGTAAAGCGAATGTACATGTATGATGTAATATGATGTAATGTGATGTCATTCTCAGCCTGTAGCGTCTTGTGCGATGCCAATAATGAAGGACCAGAAGATATGGACAGACTCACCTGCAACAAGGAGGGCTAGGTAATGCATTTATATTAATTCATTAATTAATTAATTTATTTATTTTGTTTATTTATTTGTCTCATTATTACAGAGAAGGTGTGATGGAGTTCCTTCTAGTCAATCATCCATTGGATTGTCCGATTTGTGATCAGGGAGGAGAGTGTGACCTACAGGTATTGCTTCATGTATCTATCATGTATCTTGTATTCTGATGCATGTATACATGTACATGTACATGTACATGTATATGTACATGTATATGTACATGTTCTTATGTGTTAAGAATCAGTGCTAGTTTCATTACTTACATCATGTGTTACAGGATCAGTCAATGGCTTTTGGTAGTGATAGAAGTCGCTTTGTTGATAACAGCTTTGCCGGAAAAAGGTAATTGATTAATTAATTAATTAATTAATTAATATATTAAATAGGGCGGTAGAGGATAAGAACATTGGTCCGCTGGTGAAGACTATTATGACCCGTTGTATCCACTGTACTCGCTGTGTCAGGTACCGTAGTACACCATCGTCCTGTGTCACTTGTCCATTGTTAGGTTTGGTAATGAGGTAGCAGGTGTGTCTGATTTGGGTACTACAGGAAGAGGTGGTGACATGCAGATTGGTACTTATGTTGAGAAACTCTTCCGCTCTGAGCTCTCGGGTAACGTTATTGACCTTTGTCCTGTTGGAGCCCTCACCTCAAAACCATACTCCTTCACTGCTCGACCCTGGGAACTGAGGTAGTGACTGGCTGTACTTATATCATATACATGTTCTTATGTTGTGTAGAAAGTTTGAGCTGATTCCGATCAAAATTGGATTTTTTGCAAATTTTTAAAGTTGCTCCAAAATCAGATAAAAATCCCTGTACTATAGTACATGGTCTCGGACCAAATTTTGCCAAAAATGAAAAGTAGAGAATTCTCAATTTTTATAACATTCCTTGATACATATACATGTTCTTATGTTGTGTAGAAAGTTTGAGCTGATTCCGATTAAAATTGGATTTTTTACGAATTTTTAAAGTTACTCCAAAATTGGGTAAAAGTCCCTGTACTATAGTACAGGGATTTTGGCCAAATTTTGCCAAAAATGAAAAGTAGAGAATTCTCAATTTTTATGACATTCC